GAGAGAGAGAGAGAGAGAGAGAGAGAGAGAGAGAGAGAGAGAGAGAGAGAGAGAGAGAGAGAGAGAGAGAGAGAGAGAGCTCACGGCGATCGTTCCCCCTCGCACGTCCTCTTCCGACCTCTTTCAAACTCTCTTCCGGCCTCCTCCTCCACTTGCACGATGTCCTCCTCCCCCTTGCAACCTCCTCCTTCCCCTATTCCAAACTGCGCCTGGCGATCTCTCTATCTCCCCACCTCTCTCTGTCTCGCGCTGTGATGACGCCCGCCTTCTGCCACATACGATCTCGCTGCTCTCCCGTTCTTGCTCGCTCCCCTCGATCTCGAATGCGCACGCAATGCGCGGCTTTGGCGCGAATGCGATCCACGTATGCAGCTGCACGATCCGAATGCACCCCTGCATAGACCGACCTGGCCCTTCCCCCCCCGCACAAATTCTTTCTTCCCTGCCCCGCCCTTTCCCAGCGTCGCGTCGCTTTGCCGGCCCACCACCGCCTTGCCAACCGTCGCCCCCCACCTCAATCCTGCGCGGCCAGACCCGCTCTGGCACACCCCTACGTCGATTTTTGTTGGGCCCGCATCCACCCGTTACGGAGGGCCCGTTGTAACTTCAAAGAGTATAGTGAAATGTTATGTCCTTCACACAAAAGGAACGGCAGCTTGATAGAGGTTTCGTCACACAGTGCAACATAGTATAACATTGAGCCATGGAGGTGTTTCATCAGGCTCATTCATTCCTCCACACCTTAACCTTTCTCCTCCCCCCTTGGCCCCCCTCTCCATGTCCTAACATCAGCTTGCATGCTGGCAAACAGGAATTTGAGATTAGCTGATGAATAGTCTTACTGCTGAGTACGACTAGTCGGAACTTGTGTGCATTCCTTGGTTCTATTATCCAGGACAATGATGCAGCAGCCAAAAGCGCGCAAGCAAATTTCAGATGGCAGTGTGCAAAGTGCCATCGCAAGGAAGCTGCAAGGTTGAAAAGGTGAGACAATCCATCTGTCTTTGTCGAGTCCAATGTGGCTGTCAAGCACTTGATTTAGAGTATGCAAGGTGACTAAAGTTTTATTTGATAACTCTGACATAGAGCTAGAGGTGGAAGGTCCACCACGTATGTGTACTCGAACGTGGAATGTGTACACAGTTCTACACACCTGTTTGCTTTCCAGGACACCTGCACCTTATATTTTGTCTGTTCTCTTAACGATGCTCGTTCTTATACACTTAGCAGTTCTGCACGATGGGTGGGAGGAGGGGAAGGGAAGAGAGGAAGAGGGGGAAAGGAGGAATAGAATGAACAGGGGAATGTCGTACCTCATAGGCTCCTCAATACTGACTGGCAAAGCACACTGCTAGTGAATTGGCACAAGAGGCCAGTCAGTGCTTGGGCTCGCCAATGTAAGTGACCACCCCTGCAGACTGGACAGGATGGGTCCGGGTGTGGACTGAAAGCACGACATCCAATGCTCAAAGTTGCAGTTGCATCGGATGGCGCGGCGTAGACAGTATGTCATAGCCAACGTGGCTCCTCCATGCTAGCAACATAGACACATGCGGCCTACAGTTGTATAGGCACTGCCGTTCCAGCCCGTCTGTAAATAGGACATGGCATGTGCGAGTGTTGTATATCAGTGCCATTTCGTGACATGTGTGTGTGCGTGTGTTGATTGCAGGCTTCAGGAGCAGGAAGATCGGATGAGGCGAAAACAGATACAGCAGCTTGCAAAGCAGGTCGGTGTTTTGATACCTGTGCAATGGCTCATTCACATGGCATGCATCACACTTTCAAACCACCTATACTTTGATTGGCAGACAAATCAAAGGGAGTGGAAGCGATGAGATATAGCGTGGAAGAGAGGGGGAGTGTCGTGCAAACGAATGGCATTTTTCTTGGGAAGCTCTGTTTAAATTAACTTGTACTCGGTCGTAAAAGAGTTGATGAAGCTCTTGTGTACAACAAAAAAACATCACTGGTCTTTGAACCCCTGTTCCAGAAGACCTGTCTACTACTCAACCGTGTTGAAAAATAAAATAGGGAACCCTATTTTGCTACAGTTTGCAACTGTGAACTGGATTTCATGGAAGCAATCGCAGAAGACGAACTTCAAAACATGCTAGAATGTGACCATGGTGTGGACATTGGAATCATCGCTGCTCACCCTGTGTCAACCTCTGCAGGTTGTCACAAGAAGCAGTCAAATAGTGAGCAGACAGGACCTAGAGATGGAGAGGACTGCCTTCTTAACCCCAAAAAAACGTACGTACGTACGTTCGACTTACCTCTGAAAAACGTTTTTCAGAAATCGCTGTTCTTTTCCGAATAGAGCGTATGGTTGAACACAAGGTACATACATTCTATTTGGGGTTTGCGGCGGTGTCTGAGATATTATATAGATTTTCAAAAAGCTTCGAAAAGCCCCCGCAAAAGGATGATGTACAAGTTAGTACAACAGTGCAATACAAACATTTTTTGCCTGAGGGCATTGTCGAAATTTGCAACCAAATGCAGGGGGAACAAGAAGGCGAATACAACGTGTGTATCTTGTATTTGCTATGTCTAAGCCATCATTTCAATTTTTCGAAAAGATTCAGAAAATTCCCGAAAAAAAAACGAGTACGAAATTGCAAGACAAACAACTTTTGCAGAGTGTCTTGTCGAAATTCGCATTGAAATTCAAGGCCCACCGTGTTCACGTTCGGAGGCGAACGTGAACATGTTCGCCCGAACGCGAACAAGCGCCCAAAACTCTCCGAACGCGAACATAAAAAATGTTAAAAAAAAATATGTTATGTAAAATAACAATACAAGCAACTTTTGCCTTGGAGTCATGTTCAAATTCGTAGCCAATCATGAGTTAAAAATCAAAAACCGATTTTTTAAAAATTTTATTTTATTTTTTTTTTACGGAAAAAAAGTTATGTTCACCCGAACATGTCCGCAAGCTGTTCGCGCGAACGCGCGAACACGTTCGCCCGAACGTGAAGGGGTGCGAACACGTTCGGCATGCTACGCACAAGGGGAATCTTTTTTTTGTTTTTGATATCCTTTGGCTCCTGAAAAGTTGTACCCGGAAGTTAGTTGTACAATGTACGTAGATTGTATTAGAAATTTAGAATACAACGTATTCATGTACAACTTATGCACTGTTATAATCCTGGAAATCTCACAGTGCAAAAGTAAAAAAGGGACAATGCCGTCAATTTGGGTGTCTCCAACCATGTGGTTGGATAAATTAAATGAGTCGTGTCCATCTTCCCGCGGACATTCAACTGCAACTGAAATGAAGAGATTGGAAAGAGAAATAGACACAGAAAGAAGAAGAAGAAGATGAACACAAGCTGTAACCAATGTCACTCCTCCCCTTATCTCACCAGCATCTCTCTCCTCCATCATCTCCCCCAACATCTTATCTCTATGCTCCTCCCCTTATCTCACCAGCATCTCTCTCCTCCATCATCTCCCCCAACATCTTATCTCTATGCTCTTAAGTCGGCTGGACTGCAGCACGAAGTCGACATCCGCTCAAATGGGCACAACGTCAACCTCGTCTCCACGTAGTCGCATGTGCAGCGAGGTCAATGTGGCTGAACGGTGCACCAATGAGCTGTAGATAAACAGAGCTGCCAAACAATTCCGGATTACCCAGGCCCGGTCAGCTCTATGATGACAAAAAGAATATTGTGGCTTATCAATCAGTTCCGAATCACCCGAGGTCATGCTCCACCTTTGAGTCCATCAGGATTTGAACTCTTGATGTGCACAGTGCATAGACTTCCTTCCCATGATGGGGCCATGGTATTTTAGTCCTGTTTCCTCCTGCATGCATCCTCGTCCTCCCTTGCTACTCTTTCTTTCTTCCTCCTTTCCTCTATTTATCCCCGTGGTTTCCTCCTCGCTCCTTCCTCCTCTCCTCTATCGATAAGCAAACACCAAGTTCACCAAGCTCACAAAGCGGATTCAGAAGTAATCCATGGCCCGCAGTTTGCATTGCTTCTGAAATCTAACATTTCGTCTTTATTGTGTAGAAGTTTAGAGTTGCTTGTTTATTGCATTGCTTCAAACACTTCAGTTTATGGCGCTTCAGTTTGAGTTGCTTAAACTGAAGTGAAGACGTATGCGGCAAAATGATCAGTGTCGAGGTAAAGAGTGAAAAAGGGTCAGGACTCAGAAGCAAATGGGTTATCTAGTATAAAAACTAACAAAGCCAATAGCGAACCCATTTTCAATGTAAAGAGTGGAAAAGGGTGAGAACTTAGAAGCAAACGGGTTATCAACTTCAACTTATCTATTATAAAAGCAAACAAATCGAATAGTGGACCCATTCATGACCCCAAACCAGGGCTGATTGAAAGTAAAGATCTGAGTGATCCCAACCCAAGTGAGAGAGAAAGAAAAAGGATTTAACAAACAATGTTGAACGAAGGAAAAAAGAAAACACAAAGAGACAGGCGCAAGGAACCAACCAATGAGAACAAAAAATTCCGAGATGAAAAAGACTTGTAGCAGACCAAGCATGCGTGAGCTGAGTTAAAAGCAGAATTACAAAAGACGAGAGCACACCAAATGAGAAGACACTGAACACTGAAGTCTCTTGACAAGGAAAACCCCTCTTCACACGTCCAATAACCAATATGACAATGATGTAGTTGCCCTAGTATGATGTGCCCGCCTATGCTACTCTCCCACTCTAGCTACACACACTAGACTACTCTCCCTGACGCTTGCTGTGTCCACAAACCGCTCGCCAGATGATGCTGAAGAGTCTGACGGCTTGAGTGCTCCACGACCATCCCAGGTAAGTAACACCAGTCCCCAGTTGCTGTCCCATCTCTCTAATCTCCCCAACCCAGTGCCACCCCTTATTGTCCTGCTCAGTGCTGCTGGCTATGGCAGGCGCTGGCCAAGCAGCTGCCACAGCTGGTCTCCTCCTCTCATGCACAATGCGCTAAGACAGCATTACCACAAGCAGCCGGGGCACAAATGTGTCTGCCTTGCTCAGCCTCCTCTCTGTTTCCATGCCTGGAGGCCAACTGCGGGTCCCAGTTGGCAGTCCCTCCTGCCTACTGGGGGCGGCCTCAGCAACTTACAGGGGATGGGGTCCAGCCTCTGCCCAGAAATGCAAGGCATGGCCTTCACTTATGGCAGGGCATCATTCTTCCAGGCGGCCCAGGAGCCTCACAAAGGAGCTTGAGTAAGCAAATTCAGGTCTCATCTTTGAGCCCCAGAAAACTTATTAGATAATGACTTTGAAATTGAAGATGCAATTACACCATGGGCATCTTTTGCGGGGCATCGTCCTTTTTTTGCTGCTTCCCGTCCCTATGGGGTGGCCTTTCTTGAAAATCGTACTCGTCAGAATGGAGAATTTATCTGATAGACCTTCTGGTTATTGGATTCTGGGGAATTGAAGGAAGGTGGGGTATTTATAGGTCTGTAATAGACTCTGTGTATGTCTGCAAGCATTTTCATTGCAGGATGATAGGGCTAATCCTGATGTGGCTGCATTGTGACACGGATATGTTTCCACTCTGTCCTTTATCACAGGAAGAAAAGGAAGAAAGGGAACGTTATCGACTGGAGAAAAGAGAGGAGCGGGAGCGAAAGAAGCAGGTATAGGAGGTTCTTTGGCTGGAATTTATTTCTGATCTCTCTCTGGAAGACATCCATCGAAGGATGGGTTGGGTTTTACAGCATTTGATGTGAAAAAGGTTCAGATGCTGGAAGGATGAGCTAGTGACTACTGTCTTCACCCGAATAGAACGCCCGGTCATTATCGCTGCAGCTGGACCGACAGTTGTGCCAAATACAGCTATAATGACCGGGCATTCTATTCGGGTGAAGTCGGTAGCTGATGTCTTGAAGAGTCAGTTTTGTTGGGCTATTTTAGCTGTTTGAAACTCTTCCGTCTGATGGAGTCAGGTAGGGAACTTTCTGCAACCTCAACCATCTACTTGAATGGAGGATATTTTTCAGGCTTACTACTAAGTTACTAGTGGGGTGGGAAAAGCTACTTGCAAGCTTATTTTCTCCGTAGAAAATGGAATTGCTTCACTCATGGTTGGAATTGTCCTGCCTATGCATTTTGCCTCTTGCCCTGATGCTGTCTGTGCCCTGGTTTGTGAAGTGCCTCTTCTCTCTACTGACAAAAGTGACCACAATTAACATAACCACAGTCAGAGTATCAAACAGAAAACCCCAAGAAGCATCAAACAGTTCTGACAAAATCCATGGTGCGAATTAGATATAACAAGCACTGGCTCCCAGTGCAACCTCATAAAGAGCTACGAAACACAGACCTGAAGAAATTGAAACACAAGTGGTTGTTACCAAGGCAGCCCCTCGTGAACCAAGAAAGTCTTCCTTCAGAGAAGTTCAGACTTATTTCACGCGTGGTAGTAAATGAACTAACCTCGCCCTACCTTCTTCACCTGAATAGAACGCCCGGTCATTATGGCGGCACCTGGACTGAAAGTTGCCTCAAATACGGCTATAACGACCGGGCGTTCTATTCGGGTGAAGACGGTAGGGAGGAAGCTCCCTACCTGTGTCTTTTCCCATTTTTCTTGAAACTCTCTGCCCTATAGTCCGTGCGTGACCTATGACTGCTCTGTTGTTATCCACCAACCTGCAGGGAGAGATGGTTAACTGAGGGCCAAAATTCGCTGTTTTCGCCGACAATTTTGGTGCAAAATTCAGCAAAAATTCCAAAAACAAACAATATGGGCCCGTAGCAACTGTCACAGGTCACGGACTAGAGGGCAGAGATCAAAGTATAGAGTGTGAAAACTGTGAACCTGTTCACCAATGTGCAGATGTCTGTCCAAGAGCACATGGTGTGCTATCTCCATCGATCGGCCAAGTGGAATGTTTGAAGAGATTAAACGCCACACAAAAACGGTTTGTATTCGAGATAACTGACCTGTATGAGGTATTGGCGACTGTTCTTCCTCCTGGTTGGATGTCCGCATGAGACTGCATCGATGTAACCGGTCCTGGCAACCATATCATCATCCACGTTGTTGGTATACTTTGTCTGTATCGTCTTTTTCACTTCGTTGTATCTCATTGCCCACTTCTGGGTTGACTCCTTCGTGATGAACTGCAGGTCTATCAGCGGGCTGTACACTAACCTGTTTTTTTTTTTTTAGTTGTCAACTTTTTTGTGCTCCGGGGCTTGATCCCTGGACCTGTCACTTGCTGGTGCGCCTCTCCTTAGGTGTCCAAGACCACTAGGCCTTCTTCATTTGTCTTTTTCTGCTTGCTTTTGGGTAGGCCCGTATGTCCTTGCGGCCTATCTTAGGTCGAGGTGGAGGTCGAAACCCAGAACACTCTGGCTGGCGTGGGAGTTCGGGGTCTTTTCGTTGCCTTTTCTTTTCACGAGTCTGCTGGAGGTCGCATTTCAAAGTGAGCTGCGCTATTTCCATCAGCGCAGAGCTCCGTCCTCTTGATGTTGCTGGGGGCCATCGCTGGGGCCCTACCAGCTTCAAGAAGAACAGTGCGGGGCACCAGGCCCTAAGAGCGGTTGGATGCTTTCCTCCTCGTGTGTCTCTGTCGGGGTTATGACAGGGCTGCCATCGAAACTCTCGATTGAAGTGTTATGAACTTGGTTGTCTGACGATTTTTACCGCCACTCACACACAGACAGTCTCATACACGCCCATACATGCATAAGAGAAGGGGGAGAGGAGACATAGTCCAAACTGCACACAGATCAGAGAAGATAGCGGAAGCACAACCATGCACAGATTGGGAGAGGACACACAGTGTTTCTCACGCTCTGACGATACTCCCAACAACCAATCACAAGAAAGAACCTGCGAAGATAACAATTGGAATACACACT